ATGGTTTTTAACCTTTTCTTCACTTTTCCCCCCCAAGACTTTATTTATATATTTGACAGAGAGAGAGAGAGAGAGAACATGCACACACAAGCAAGGGGAGAGGGAGAAGCAGGCTCCCCAGAGCAGGGAGCTCAATGCAGGGCTCGATCCCAGGACAGAAAGATCATGACCTGAGCGAAGGCAGATGCCTAACCAACTAAGCCACCCAGGCGCCCCACTTTTCTTCACTTTATATATGGTTGGTATCTTTTAACATTAGTACATATAGATCTAACACACTTTGTATCTGCTTGACCCATAAGACTTTGTGCAAGACTTAAAAAAAAGCCTGACTCAAGGATACAGGTGTTCACTGCACTATTCTTTCAAATTTTACATAGGTTGAAAATTTTTCAAAAGTTTATGAAAAACAAACCATGATGAAAGCATTCACTTGAATGGAAAGATTCCATAGTGTTTTTATGTTCCCTGCATGTTCGGTACTTAGCATCTCAAAGTATGCAGCTGTTCCTCATCTCAGAAGCCAGAACAAATTCCTAACTGGGCTGATGCTTTTGACTTGACTCATTAAGATTTCATAAAGCTCATAAGCTTTTACAACATTTTCTTTCTTTTTTTTTTTAAAGATTTTATTTATTCATGAGAGACAGAGAGAGAGAGGCAGAGGGAGAAGCAGGCTCCCAAGAAGCAGGGAGCCCGATGCGGGGCTCGGTCCCAGGACCCTGGGATCACGACCTGAGCCGAAGGCAGACGCTCAACCATCGGAGCCACCCAGGCGCCCTACAACATTTTCTTAATAATCTCTAATTTCCCCCCATCAAGCAACAGAATAAAACTCATTTCAAGCTGCACTTGACCCTGCAACTAGGATCTTGGAATCTACTACTTTTTTAAATTGTTCAGACATGAGACCATGCGATCTGAGTCAAAGCCAAGGTCCTTCCAATGCTCCTGAACCTCCCAGCCTGCATCTCCTGCCACCCTCTTCACGGACCAGCCTCCTGCTGTTCTGGAACATATCAAGCCTGCACCAGCCGTAAGGCCTTCTCTGCACAAAACAAGATACTCTTCTAACCCAGACATCTCCCCATCCCCAAGGCCAAAGCCCTTAGCACTGACTTCAAGGTTTTGTTCAAATGCCACCTAATCAATGAAGCCCACCTGCTCTATTAAGAACGGCAACCAGCTCTCCCACCCACCTACGCTCTTGAACTCTTACCTGACTGGAATGAACGAATATAGGTTTTCAAGGGACAGAAGAACATGGAAAGACAGGGAGTTGTGGATTCAGAAAGTCTATCAGAAAGCAGACTATGACAGAGCAGTCAGAAGCAGGGGAGAGGGGTGACACAGAGGGAGGAGCCAAAGGAAGCTTCCCGGGCCTGGTCAGCGCAGGGCAGCGTGGCCCATGCCACAGAAGACAGGGACATTGCTCAGTTCTCAGTACCATCTATCATCTTGCTTTTACTAATTTTTTTTTAAAGATTTTATTTATTTATTTGCCAGAGAGAAGACACAGGAGAGAGAGCATGAGAGTAAAAGCAAGGGAAAGCAGCAAGCAGAGGGAGAAGCAGGCTCCCCGCTGCACAGGGAGCCTGATGGGGGACTCGATCCCAGGGCCCCGGGATCACGACCTCAGCCGAGAGCAGACGCTTAACCAACTGAGTCACCCAGACATCCCATTAATTTTAATTTAGTATTTCATACAGATTCTCATTTTTCTACTTGTATTTCAGATTCTGTATAAGTAGGATACTAATGACTAGCAGATTAAGGCTTGCTTGCAAACAATATTTTTTTCAAAATTTTTAAAATTTATTTTTTTAAGCTTGCAAACAATATTTTAAAATCATAAAGCTCCTAGGTTTACAAAGCCCTTTTGCATCTATTTTCTCATTTAATCATCTTGCATATTAAAGAGGTATCAACCGCCTGAAAAGGTCTACAAACAAATGACATGGGGGTCCTAAGTAAACATGTGGGCCACAGCATCCCTTACTCCAGCACCCCCCATGGAGAGGCCAAGGACGCGGTGTGTTGAGTAAAAAAGCACGACCCGCAGCTAGCCTCTTGCTCAGATTCTATTTCCCAAGGGACTTCCCTTTACAAGAGGCCAGAGTAATTAAACCCTTAAATCAGGTTAATTTAACTAGTGATTTTCCACAAATGAACAGAAACTCTAAACCTGTGTTTAAAGTAGCAGCTTAACTATCACAGTAAAGAAGAGAGATACCCGGCGCCCACCCTCTCCCCGCCTCAGCACGGGAAGTGACTGCTGCTACCCTGGATCAAGCCGGAGATCCAACCTAAAATCCTCACACAGTTCTTAGCCCCCAACGAACCTGGTGACCACTCTGTGCCTCCCCCACTCCCATCTCACCACTGACCTGACCGAACAAGCCCACATGCTACTCCTACAGCTCAGCTCTCAGGCTTCCCTACAGCTGTGCTGCACCTGGACTGTTACTCCAGGTCAAGTACACCATGTCACCCATCACGGGCTTTTGGGGTTGGTGCGCGCTGAGCCCGTCGGACTGCCCAAATCACTCAAAGTAAAGCTAATTTCCCTTCTCCTAAATGCATCTACCCTCAATCATTGTGGTGCAAATTCCTTGTTATGAAAATTGTGCTTGAATAACATTTCCTCAGATTCCCAACCACAAACAACTATGAGATTTGGAAACCCTAAGCATCACATTAGAAATGGAGTCCTATGTTCCTTATTGCTTATGGAACAACCAAGCCTTCAGTACTCTTGCAATGAAGAGAACAAAAGTGCAAGATCATATGGATAATGGTGATCATGCAAGTCCTCTCTGAAATCAGAATTGAAGTGTGAGACTGAACCAAAGGAAGAACAGCTTGTGCAAATGCCCAGGGACAGATATGCACAAGAGAGTAGTAAGGAAACTAAGAACAGTAAACAAGAAGCCAGTTAGAGAGGTAGGCAAAAGCCAGATCTGCGGATAAAAATATGTGAACTGCATTCTGTATGCAATGAGCAGTTTTGTTCTGTTGTTTTGTGGGAAATGACACCTATGGTAAAAAAAAAAAGAAAAGAAAAAAGAAAAAAAAGACTTTTCTACTGCCCAGTGGAAAATAGATGGTCCAGGTGAGTGATTATGGTAGTTTGGACAAGAACGTAGTCATACATAGTTAAGTGGACATATGACAAAGGTGACTTTTTTTAATGATACAAAACATGGTAACTTTTTTTCAAAACATGATAATTTTTAACATTATGTACTAGGTCTTCTCTTACAATAGTTCTTGTAATTTTACATGTGACTGCAAAGCATTAACGCAATTCTAGACAAAAGGTTCCAAAGTAGGCGCTTGGCGGCCGGGGTGGAGGGGGTGTCAAATGCAGACTTGTTTTGGCCACAAAGTTTACTTTCTTAAAACCTGAGTTGATTTGGTATCTAAAAATCAGTATTTCCAATTTCTCTTGAAAATCACTAGATCTGGCAAACAACTGTTGGCTAGTGGAAACTGACTAGAGCACAGGCTTTCTGGTTTCCTCCAGTCCCCACACCCAGCACCCTTGACTCCTTCATACCACCTACTGGAAAGATAATTCAGTTTTCCACTCTTCCAGTCTGGTACCTTCACTTAGGGTGCCAGAAGCCCTTATTCACATAAAAGTATCCCAGTTTGAGGGGCGCCTGGGTGGCTCAGTCGTTAGACGTCTGCCTTCGGCTCAGGTCATGATCCCAGGGTCCTGGGATCGAGCCCCGCATCAGGTTCCCTGCTCAGTGGGAAGCCTGCTTCTCCCTCTCCCGCTCCCCCTGCTTGTGTTCCCTCTCTCGCTGTGTCTCTCTCTTGTCAAATAAATAAATAAAATCTTAAAAAAAAAAAAAGGCAGGTTCATCTCATCTCACCTTAACACATTTTTTTTTAAAAGATTTATTTATTTATTTGAGAGAGCGAGAATGAGAGAGAGAGTACATGGGGGGGGTCAGAGGGAGAAGCAGGCTCCCCGCTCAGCAAGGAGCCCGATGTGGGACTCGATCCCGGGATCCCGGGATCATGACCTGAGCCGAAGGCAGCTGCCCAACCAACTGAGCCACCCAGGTGCCCCCTTAACACATTTTCGATCAAGAACTGGTTTTAAGTAGCCTGCCGTCACCAGTAATAGGAACCAAAACCTAAGGATCCAGACACAGACACAATTCCATCCTGATACAACCAAACCAGAGGGGACAAAAATGACAACACCTGCATGGTCTCAACAGGCCTGGTCCTAGCACTCAGGCTTCCTCATTTCGCACACCAGGGAGCAACACAAGTACGGTCAGACCGGAAGCTCAGCGAGGGCAGGAACCTGTCCCTCCTCCATCAAAGCCTGTGCCAGGCACTCCAAGATGTGTAAACGGAATCCAATAGGAGCTCCGCATTTGACCATCTCTGATACACTTAGGAAAATTCTCAATCTGACGACTTTTCATCCCACTAGAAAAAGGCATCTGTAATTAAAGGGGTGAAGCAATGTCATTTACAGCAAAGGTGATCTCCAAGGTGCTGGGTGTGTCTACTTTCTCACATCTGAATATAGTTTAAACTCTGAAACCTTCTGCGTCTCTGCCTCCTCCACTTCATTTTCCCTCATCTTCAGTCTCACCCCACTCCCACTCCGACTAGGATAAGATACATCCATCAAAACACTAACCCATTTTAAGTTTCAGAAAAAATTTGTTGAAAAGCTTTGTAAAGTTTGGGAACTAGCAAAGTCAATCACAAACCCACCTCGCAAACCCAACCGTATAATAATTTTCTGGGCCAAATTTCCTCTTCAGGGCTTTTCCACCGGTGCCAGCATCCACCATCCCCGCGGACCCCACGCCCCAGCTGTAGGCCCTCAGCCGGGGCAAGCCGCTCCACCCCGCCCCTAGCCTCGTTTGCAGAACGGGAACAACAATAACCTCAGCGGGTTTTCTTCCCGTGGGGTTGCAGGAGAAATGCACAGTGCATACACTTAGCACCCAGCTTGGCAGCTCCTGTTAGCATCCTCGCCGTCCCCGGGCGGGATGGGCCGGACCGCGCTGGGCGGACAGGCGCTTGGGGAGGGTCGAGGGAGAGGGGCCGGGCGGGCGCGGCTCACTCACCTGCAGGCGGACGTTGAGCATCATGGAAGCCACGATGTAGAGGTAGGGGAAGTTGATGCGCAGCCGCCAGGCCAGGTCGAAAAAGATGAGCAGCGTGCGGGTCAGCCCCTTGCAGAAGACCCCATAGGAGCGGGCGGCGGCCGAGCGCGAAAGGCGGACAGCCAGGCCCGACAGAGCCGCCGCCATATAGACCGGCGCCCGGCGCCCGCCCGCCGCGCACCGACCGGCCGCGGACCCGGGCCGCCCGGCGCTCCGAAGCCCGCCCGCCCTCTCGGCGCCGCGTCGCCCCCGGGCCTCCGCCCCGGCCGCTGGGCCGCGCTCGGCGCGCTGAGGTAGCGAGGGAGGCGGCGGCGAGGTTGGGGGCGGGCGGGCGGGCGGCGGGGAGGGGAGTCCGCGCGTCACACTCGGGGAAGCGCCTCCGCGAGCCGCCGCCTGGTCCAAGCCGGGCCGCGCGGCCTGACGTCACAATGCCCGCGCCGCGCCTGCGCACCTCTGTCCCGCCCCCTGCCCCGCCCCTTGTCACCTTCCGCAGGTGAGACGCGCATGCGTGGGCGAGGCGGGGCGGGATGCTCCGGCAGAGCAGCGGATGCGTTATCTCGGTCTGCCCCCTAATGGTAAGCCAGAAATTAAAACAAACGAGGAGGTGAGCCGGGAATTTGAATTAGATTGTACAATGCCAATGTCCTTAATAATGGGGAACTGTACATTTAAAAATTGTTAAAATAGGCAGCTCTTTCTGCCCAGGGGTCCTGTCACCGTGCTTTAATAAAACTACCTTTTTGCACCTAAATAAATCAATCAAAATAAAAACGGTTAAAATAGCAAGTTTTATGTTATGTATATCTAACCACAATTATAAAAAGCAAACAAAGGGAGGCTTCCTGGGGTGGAGGGGCAGAACATGCTACCCATGTAGATGGTTTCAGGATCCCAGCCATTGTTCAGTGTTGACTTACCTAAAATTTAATCTTTAATAACTGGTATTAATTGACTTGCTAATGAAATAAGCAAAAATATTGAAACTTCCAAAACTTCTAGTATTCTGTGTTTCGGGGTTTTTTTTCTTTTTGACAATGAGTTTTTACATTCCTACTTCAGCACATAGGTTTCTATCAAAGATTTGCATGGTGTGAAGGTAGATATGTTATTTCTAGTCTCACAAAGCATTTCATGTCATTACTTCCGCCCACCAGTGAAAGTCTGGGAATTTGGTACAGGTGAGAAAAAAAGAGTTTCATTGATGAAATTAAAAGCAAATTTTAAGTCCTTTAAAAAAGCAACATGTGAAAATAGATTTAAATGTAAAAATTCTTTGCCCTAAAATGGGTTTGCAGTAATAATCATTATTGCGTTAGAAGCCATTTAAGGGGCACCTCGTGGTGCAGTTGGTTGGGCATCTGACTCTTGGTTTCCCTTTGGTCCTGGTCTCCGGTTGTGACCTCTGGGTTGTGAGATCCAGTCCTGCGAACTCCCCGCTGAGTGCCAAGTCAGCTGGGGTTTCTCTCCCTCTCCCTCTACCCCGCCTGCTCGTGCTCTCTCTCTCTCTCTAAAATAAATAAATACATCTTTAAAAAAAAAAGTCATTTAGGAGCACCTGGGTGGCTCAGTTGGCTAAGCGTCTGCCTTCTGCTCAGGTCATGGTTCCCGGGTCCTGGGATGGAGTCCCATGTTGGGCTCCTTGCTTAGCGGGGAGGCTGCTTCTCCCTCTGACTGCTGCTCTCCCTGCTTGTGCTCGCTCGCTCTCTCTCTCTCTCTGACAAATAGAGAATATCTTTATTAAAACCAAAATCTTTATTTAAAAAATTAGAAATAAATAAAATAAAATTCTTTACCCTGAAAGAAATTCACATTCAAAATCATTAAAAATTTTTTTTTCATTTTACTCATCTATAATCCACAGATTATAAATCACAGAGGACACTTCCAGTATTGTCATTATGACTATTATTTAGCATTATCATTTTTCTTTGAATATCTACTGTGTAAGAAGAATTGTACTTTTTGGCGGGGGTGGGGGGGATGCTTGGTCAGCTCCGTTGGTGAAGCATGGGACTCTTGATTTCAGAGTTGTGAGTTCAAGCCCCACCTTGGATGTGGAGATTACTTAAAAAATTTTTTTAAATCTTGGGGAAAAAAAGGAAGAATTGTACCTTTTGACACTCATAGTACTGTATTTACTATCCATTGTGTTTCAGGCCAAGACCATTTTAAATAGTTATTTCAGGGTTTTTAGCTTTTGGATCGTCTTGTTATTAAAATAATATTTTTCGGGGCGCCTGGGTGGCTCAGTCGTTAAGCGTCTGCCTTCGGCTCAGGTCATGATCCCGGGTCCTGGGATCGAGCCCCGCATCGGGCTCCCTGCTCAGCGGGAAGCCTGCTTCTTCTCCCTCTCCCACTCCCCCTGCTTGTTCCCTCTCTTGCTGTTTCTCTCTCCCTCTCTCTGTCAATTAAATAAATAAAATCTTTAAAAAATAAAATAAAATAATATTTTTCAAAGTATGTGCACTAATCTTTAGTTCCCCTTATTTTTGCAGCATTAGACTTTGCCACATTTATTGCTGCCATAAAAAGCTCACTTCCCTTTTTTTGTAAGCTATTTTTTTCTCTTGGCACTAAGTGGCTGCTATCTTTGAGGATGCAGAACACATGCTCCTGAATTATCATCGTCATTCAAGCTATCCTTCCCAAAAAGCAAAATGAGCACTTCTTTATACAGTATTTAGAAAAATAATTTAAAGGGGCGCCTGGGTGGCTCAGATGGTTCAGCGTCTGCCTTCGGCTCAGGTCATGATCCCGGGGTCCTTGGATCGAGTCCCGCATCGGGCTCCCTGCTCGGCGGGAAGCCTGCTTATCCCTCTGCCTCTCTCTCTCTCTCTCTCTCCCTCCCTCCCTCCCTCTCTCTGTCTCTCATGAATAAATAAATAAAATCTAAAAAAAAGAAAAATAATTTAAAGATTTTTAAAGGCTAGAGTCTTCATGGAAAATTTGCCAAAGACACAAAATCAATCTGACAATGTGTGAACAGGTTTCAAGATCAGCTGAATTTGTTCTTAGGCCTGTAAAGATTTTCACTGGTGGAGATTTGGCAGTGCTGTTTATTAGAAGTATGTTGAAAGACCAGATGGGCTGCAGGGATGTGAGATACATACATATATATATATATCCTCCCTGGTTACTCATTTCTTTTTCTCTAAATGCCATTGAGGCAATGAGGCATTTTTAACAAGCCATTCAGTTGCCATAAACAATGGCAAACAACATCACCACAAAACTACACCGAGCAAGGTAAAAAGCCCTATGTAATTAGACATAATGGAAGGTCAAAGAGAACATGAACGAAAGAATGCTAACGAGATTTGAGGTTTAATATATATCAAGGTTAACTAGTTACGAGTTGTAGAGCAGGTTGGTAAATTAGTCTAGCCTCCTGACTTAACATTTAACTCAACCCCAATTTTCTAGGATCTCTGGGAAGACATTCTGCTAATTATAATTTGAGAACCGGGCAAAATTAATTATAAGTCAGTGTGCATAGTATTTTTATAGAGGTACGTAAGGGTTAAAGGAGAAGGTAGGAGAAAAGATGCCGAGGCAAATGGGAAAATGACTTAATGAAGGCTTGATCAAGAGGATCCAGGTGATTTGCCTACAATCTTCCTTCCTGCACTTAGAGCAGCAACTCAAGTGAAACAAATAGTTGTCTTTTTCTTTCCAGCTTCCCCTGATGAGAAAAGAACAGGGAAACAGGGTTTCATATTCACCATCTTCTTTTAGCCCCGTGACCTGCTTCTGTAAAATAAGGATAAGGACACCCATCTTACAGGGTATTTGTGAGAAATAAATGAGAGCAAGTATGCACAGCATATGGCACTGTCCTAGGCAGATAGAGGGCACCCAGAAAGTCATAGTTATTTCCATGCTCAGGGCCCTTGAGTCCTTAGAATACAAGTTTAGTGACTCCATTAATAATCATTTAAATTAGAGTCACCTGGCTGGTTCAGTTGGCAGAGCATGTGACTCTCAACCTCGGGTCGTGAGTTCAAGCCCACGTTGCGGGTAGAGCTTCCTTGAAAAGAAAAAAGAGATTCCAATTTTGAGGCTCTCGATGTAAAAAAAGTAAATGAAAAAATATACATATATAGTTACCAAAAAAATCATTATAATTAATAATATTTAACTATGGATCACAAGAAACCTAAAGAATGAGACACCTTGATTATGTTGCTGGAAGAGAGGATGGACACAAACGATCCAAAGTGTTGGTCAGAAATAATTTATATTCCTTTGCTCATTTCCATGGAAACTTGGAAGTGTGGGGTGGATTTAAGCATGAGCGTTTCGGGCGCCTGGGTGGCTCAGTCGTTAGGCGTTTGCCTTCGGCTTGGGTCATGGTCCCAGGGTCCTAGGATCGAGTCCCACACCGGGCTCCCTGCTCCACAGGAACCCTGCTTCTCCCCCTCCCACTCCCCCTGCTTGTGTTCCTGCTCTCGCTGTCTCTCTATCAAATAAATAAATAAAATCTTTAAAAAATAAATAAAAATAAACATGAGCGTTTAGTTGCCATTGTAAGATAATTCAAGTTTCCAGTCTCTCAGTGAAGGGCCCTTTCCAGGCAGTCACATTATTTCACCAGATTAAGGTCAATGTGAATCAATGACACAGTGCTAGTATGGAGTCTTTTTTTTTTTTTTGAAAGATTTTATTTATTTATTTGACAGAGAGAGACACAGCGAGAGAGGGAACATAAGCAGGGGGAGTGGGAGAGGGAGAAGCAGGCTTTCCGCTGAGGAGGGAGCCTGATGTGGGGCTCAATCCCAGCACCCTGAGATCATGACCTGAACCAAAGGCAGATGCTTAATGACTGAGCCACCCAGGCGCCCCAGTATGGAGTCATTCTTAAGTGAAGAAAAATAAGGACAAAAGTGTGCACAGATATGTGTGTGTGCATATATACATATTTATATATAAAAATAAACACACATGACTACTTGCATACATATACATATATGGGTGTATATACATATTTATACATATATACACATATGTGGGGCTGTTTTGTTTATTCTTTACATAAAAGGATAAACCATATATTTGTTTTAAAGATTTTTTTTTATTTATTTATTCATGAGAGACGGGGCGGGGGGAGAGAGAGAGAGAGAGAGAGAGAAGCAGAGGGAGAAGCAGGCTCCCAAGGAGC